GTGCCCTTTAGGGCCCTCCCCAAGTTGCAAATTCAAACCTTATAAACCTACAAAAGTTTACCCACCAAACCAATGTAGGACAAGCCTTTAATTCAAACTTTTAAGGAATTTCCACAAAAATTTCATTTCCATGGAGCTCACTTTGGTTTCAATTTCCCATTCACCCGATAATAGTTTTGAACAACCAAATATATTACGTGAATTGCAACATAGCATAGAACGCGTAACCACTTAGACCCGCCAACTTTGGTGGATGGGTTCCACCTAAAAAATAGACAAAAGTTGAAAAAAAATCTAATTTTTTCAAAACCATTTCTAACAATATATATATATATATATATAAAACAAATATGGTACTCGTATTTTTGAATTTCTCTCTCCATGTGTGAAGGAAAATTTGAATTTCTTTGCAATAGTCAAATTTTTAAAAACTAAGGCCTCGTTTGGGAACAGACTAATTTAGTAACTTTTTGGCTAAAATATGAGCTAAAAAAACTAGCCTTCGTTTGGGAAGTGGGTTGGCTTTTTAGCTTTTTGGCTTTTTTGGCTATTTTAGCCTGGGCTAAAAAGCTTGGTTTGTGAAGGACTTTTTGGCTTTTTGACTTTTTTGAATTTTTTTGTGAGAGAATAGTGTAATGATTATGGGTTGGATGTGATGTCTTGTTTTTTGTGGCTAAAATAGCCTATTTTGTCTTTTGTGGCTAAAATTGCCAAAAAAACCCACTTTAGTTCTTCCCAAACGGACCATTTTGGGATGATTTTTTGACTTTTTACGAAAAGATGTGTAAAAAGTAGAGAGAAAAGAGAATCTTTGACTTTTTGGTATGAGTTGTTGGCTTTTTGGCCAATTTAGTAATTTTTTCACTTTTTGACTAAAAAAGAGGATTCCCAAACGAGACCTAAACACATATTCATTTTCAAAACATAGTTTTTAAATCACTTTTTTAAAAAATAATTCAAAAAACTAAAACCAAACATAAACATTTTGATGATTTTTTTATATAAAAAAAATTGCAATACAAAAATAAAGATACAAATAATTACAAACACAAAAAATACCTCTCTCTCTCTCTCTCTTCGTCCCCTTGTTGCCAACTAGCAACCTCTACCCTCCACGCCGCCACACACCATTCCTTTGTCTCCCACCTCCTTTTTGTCCACTCGCATTTGCCTTTCCCATCCTTATCCTTCCACTTTCCAACCCTTTTTCCCATCTCTAATTCTGGTCACCAATGTCTACTAGATATCTTGGTGGCTATGGTGGAAGAGTTGGGTTGGGTTGGGTTGGAAGTACAGGTGGGGTTGGCAAAGGAGTTTAGGTGGGAAGAAGAGGAACAAATGGATACAAAATTTACAAAAAAAAAAGAAAAGAAATGAAAAAAGAGATAGAAACTTATTATTATTATAATCATTATTTTCATTTCTTTTAATTGATGAATTAATTGACTCTGGATAATTAAATGTTTAAAGATTATTTCACGTTGCAGGTGGGGAATCAGTTACACTCGTATATTTATAACATTTATAAAGAACGCATGACAATTCTTTATTATTGGAACATAAAATCTAGAACATAAGAATTATCAAAAAATTGATGACCGAATATCTAGGCATGGCACATGACAAAACAAAATCAACCCTATTCATTTGTTTTTTGAACATGCCCGAACACATGTGAACAACGGTTAGGTTCATTAATAATTTTGACTTCCCAATTAGAATTCAATTGTCGTTTTCCTCTGATGTAAATTAGTAGAATTTTTAAGATTAAGCTAACGTCACATGATTATTATAATCCTTTTCATAGCGAAATATCACAAACAATATTATGGTTATAAGTAGCAACAACTTGTCCAGCCAGAAGAGACTCCAACTCAAAAACTCACCAAATTAGCAAGTCAAACTCAAAAATACCCCCAAGCTTAGTTTGGCTTGTTTGCAATCCTAACTTAGTGCAGATTATACTTAAATGGTAGTTAATGAAATTTAAAACAGATTTCTTCATTGAATGTTAAGTTGATCGTCTTAAAACTAATTTGTGATATAGTTTAAAGGCATATATGAACTTGATATTGTTAACCAGCTCACTAATGAACAAATATTTAGAGCATTGTTCACATTTATTTAACACATCGTCGTGCCAATTCTAATTACATTTCAATCTTTTAATCTCAATCTTGCTATTCTTTAATTTCGAGGAGGAAGCTTTCCCTCCAAGAAGGATGAAAAGAAGGCAAGCGTTTGAGAGAGTTAATAACTTGGAACAAAATGCTGTCAAGTTCTCGTATCCAACTGCGTACCCATCCGCCTTTTAGTGACTTTCTCTCTCTAGTTTGAGAGCTTCTCTCTCTAAACTTTTCTCTCCTAAGGTTTCAGAGTTTGTGACTGCCGGCGGTAGGGAAGGGGTTTCCGGCAGCCTCCGGCCTCGTCTCCCCTCCCCTTACCCCTCTCTTGCTCTTGCTCTTGCTCTCCCGTTTCCTTACTTTGCTTTCCCATAACTTCGAAGTTTTGGCTTTCCATCCTCTTTCTCCTTTGTGAGGTGTTTTTCCCACATCCATTCACTCCGGGAGTGGCCTTCTCGGATCCGTGCCTTCTTTGCTGCCTTCACCGCCTCTTTCCCGTCATCTTCTCCACAGCTTGATTTGCCGACACCGGATTCGCCTCCCCTGCAGCCTTCATCGCCTCTTCTCCGCCTCTCCCGCCGCCTTCACTGCCTCTTCTCCACCGCCTCTTCATCCCCGTTCTTCTCCGCCGCCGGATCCGCCGAAGCCGCTGCTAGATTTGTGTGGGTGTGGGTCTGTTATGCTTTGTTTGTTTGGTTTAGTCCTATGTTTGTTTTTTAGTTTAGTTCTATGTTTGTTTTCTTTTGTTTTTATTTTCCTGTGATTTGTGTTGGTTTTAGGTTTGTTTGGTTCTTAGAGTCCATCTGTGCGATTTGTTAAGCTTACTTTCATTGTGGTTGAGATTTATGATTTATTTTGGACATGTTCTATTGCCGAACTTTTATGATCGGCTCTGCTTCGCAGTACGAGCATGAGTACGATATGTACTCCTGAATATTTTCATAGTTTTCTTCCTTAGTGCTTCTTGTTTTTTTTTACTTTGTTTGGTGTAAGTTTTGGATTATTTAGACTCTTATAAGTGCCGTTTGGCTTTCTTAAATGACATATTTCTTCCGTTAAAAAAAAAAAAAAAAAAAAAAAAAAAACTGCCTACCCACCCACCTTACAACAAAAAGAAATACTCTAATGAGCATCCATAAAGCTAGAAAGGCCAACCCAACGAACATTCAGGTCATGGAGCTACTTCTCCTAGGCTTCAATACTCTAATGCCATGAATACAATTTGTGATATCAGAAACAGACTAAAACCCAAGTTCCCAATGATCCTTTAGGTCACAAAACAACCCTTGCCGTGATTAAATCAATGAGTTCTTCCATATTCTCTTTTCTGGACTTGTATATGGATTACATAGCTAAAATCTTCAAAAGATGAAGGTCCAAAACCAAAACACCTTCAATTCAGAATGACCAACCAACTAAAGACTTCAATAAATAGGGATTTAACAGAAATAACAAAATTACAATGGGTTTATCAGGGACAAGCTGATTAACTATGCCACTCATTTTAGCTTCTTCAATGTAAAATAAATGTATAAAAGAAATAGAGAATTGTATTATTGAATAATGTATGCTTGTTGTGTATATTACAAATGGTGAGTGGCTCATTATATAGGATAGGGTGAGTGTAGTAGGTGAGGAGTAGGTGAGGAGTAGGTGGTGGTAGGTGATGGTGGTAGGTAGTGGTGATTTACTATTTACAATTTACATTTACATTAACATTCAACTTGACTAGATTGTTAACAAAAATCCTCGAATGTTCAAAGTTGAAATTCGCATTATTAAGAACTAAACTGAAAACCCAGAAAATTCCGGACGATCTAGGGCAAGAAATTTACCTCAAAGGTAAATTATGCCTCCCGAAATCAAGATCATCTTGTTCCTGTGATTCAACCTCAACAATCCATGGCCTTCAAAGTGTAGCCTAATTTCTTACCAAATTCGATTGAATATTCAGCTTCTTTCAGGATTAAGCTGTTGAAGATAATGAAGAGTCCATCTCGTTACCCCATTATGATTCAATTTTGCATCGGCCACTCCCCTCTTCTTCTTCTTCTTCATGGTTCGAGTCCCGAGTTTTGGCACCCTTTTGGTTAATTATTAGTTTTTTTTTTGAACGATGGTTAATATTCTCAATAATTATAGTTATGACAAAAGAAATTAAATTTTTATGTCCACAAGAGTTCAAAAAGATGATATACCTTAGACTAAAACATGATTCTTTGAGTTAACTTTTTAATTTTTTATAGAAAAATATGTATTAAAAAATTATATAAATTAGTGTGTAGAGGGAAAAATTAAAATTGAGAGTTGTGTAGCCGTACTTTTTGACTTTTGGTGAATAGTGATAACTTTTTAATTTTTTGAGTAATTTTTTAATTTTTTGACTTTTTAGACACATGCCAAACTTGGCCTCAATAAATTTAAAAAGTCAAATAAATTATAATTTAAAATTACAAAGTTGAGTTTTTTAAATAAATAAATTGACTTATAAATGTTACTAAACGTAGGCTCTGTCTTTTTGAAAGACTTATACCCTATTAACATTTTGGTTGTATGCTCTAGTACAGAATAATTTACACATAATAACCATGTTACAAGAAATAAAAGTAAAATTTGTCTTTAATGTAAGTGATAAGTTAATAGTTTGCAGTAAAATTTTTCTTACTCTTCTCTTTTCTAACTTCCACTTAGTCTTAAAGAATTAGATGAGAAGTATTTATCTCACCTTTTCTAACTTCGTTGATTTTTTGTATTCACATAAATATTCTCTTATCACATAATTTAGTAGGTAACTTAATGAAATCTTTGCTCTACAGAACACACAAAGTAACTTACAGACATATTGCTTTCAAGTTATAATATGGTTGGATTCACAAATTTGTTACTTGAAATGGCTGCAAATAATACATAAATGGTAGGCATTCAAATTTAAACACATTTCTTGATTAACCATTAAGGTTCTTGCCTTGTTACAATTTGCAATGTGAAAAAAATAAAGAAAGAGAAGACAATCTAATACGCTAGTCTCTTGCAAAAGTGAGGGATTTAAAGAGAATAAGATGTATGCAGTCTTATTTCTATTTTTGAAGAAGTAATTTTCGTAACTCAAACTCGCACCACCAAAATTACTAACGACAAACTTCACCATTGGATTAAGCCATACTATTCCAATTCTAGTTCCCTTTCAATCTTTAATCACTAATTTATTTGTCAATCTTGCTATGCTTTAATTTGTGGGTGGAAGTATTCCATCCAAGAAGGATGAGAAGAAGGCAAGTGCTCGAGCTGGTTGATAACTTGGAACAAAATGGCCAGCTCCCCTTATTGTCACAAATGTCAAGTTCTCATATCCAACTACGTATCCACCAACCTTACAACAAAAATCATTATATAAAAAAAAATGTAAGACAAAAATCGGTGACAAATATAATTTTTCTTGAACATTAGAGAGTTGCTATATATATATATATTGTCTCTATATCCGCATTTGAGGTGGGGAAAAAATGTGAAACAAATGTCACAATTTAAAACTTAATCAAATATAATGAGTATGATATAAGGATTTCTTTGTTTTTACCTCTCCTTGAAGGTACCAAGGGTACCATTTTGTCTTAACTGATGTTTGGAGTTTATCTATACCATATTTAGTTGTTGTCACTGGCACTACACTATCAGTATCTCCGCTGCAAATAAAAATTAAATTACTTACATGAGATCATATTGAAAGCTATACCCACTTTTTTAATTAAGGTTAGTTTTAGCATTTTGAGGAACTTTGGAAATTATAGGAATTAAGCACATTTCTTTTTGCATTACCTATTAGTTTAATTCAATGACAAATTACCTTATGGTTAAAAATTGTCAAGGAAAATGGTATATAAACAAAATTATTAAACAGAATAACAAAATCATAAATAACATAATGTAAAAAAAATATTTATGCATAGCATCAAATGTTAGGTACCTATAAATCCAAACACTAATACCACTAGCCATCAGCTCCTGAATGATGGGTAACACTGTTAATGGCTGGTCATTCCAAACGCTACCGATATAGTCACTGTATACAGATGCAGTTGAAGACATGTTAGTAAAAGAAATTAGCAAGTATAAGCTGTAATTTTACATATTGAAAACGTTATCATGAAAATAAAAAAATGTTACTGAAAGTTTTAAAGATCGGGTTCAATGTCTAACATAAAACTTTTTTAAAATAATTTTCTAGGTACTTTCTGGATATGTAAATTACTCCAAATATAAGCTTTGCTCTATAAGAATTTGGGGATGCATATTTACTTGCAAGATTGCCATGGCCCTGGAAGAAGACCAGTGACATTTGCATGAAGGGACTTTTGCACTTGAGGAATGTTCAAGTATACTGCGATATAATTTTCCGTGCATGGATCAAATATCGATACCTGGAAAGTTGGAAACTCAGGAAAAAAATCAGAAACAAAAAGAATAATATTAGGGATCATGAAAAAAATATCATGAACTATTTCATGAAGATTTTTATCCTTTGATTCGTGTGTGGTGTTTTATTGTATGTGTAATCTAATGGTGGGAAATCTTTCATGATATATTTTTCATGATCATTACAAAAAAAGCAGAGAAAAGAAAAGAAAATCTTTAGTAGTAGTAGTTAGTTATACCGGGGGAGCGTTTGAAGATGATGGAAGGCATAAGGGAGCGTAGATGTTGTAGGGGTAGATGTTGCCTCCAGCAGCGCCTGCTTGAGCAAGGTAGTCTTGGCATGTTAACGATATGTTTGCATCCGACGAAAAATTACAGTTTGCCACAATTCCCTCGTAAATTTCATCAGATATCAGAGCATGTGTCCAGAAAAAGTCGGACACCCCCGTGTATTCTGTTTCGTAGTCAACATATGCATTTCCAATCTGAATTAACATCATAAGAACACCAGTGTTAGTAGGATAAGTAGCCGAAGAGTTTTTAGAACAACTTGGATTGACATGAATTCAAGAAGAGGTCAAGAAACAGAGGTCGAGCTAGTAATGTCAACCAGTTACGGAATGAGTTCAGAATTACTTCAAATTTAATAGTCTTATCAGACCTAACATACCTTGTTATGTGTTACTTTTCTTCGATTGCATCAATAAAAAATTTCTTTTCCCATCAAAAAAAAAAAAAAAAAAAAAAAAAACTACTATTAGTTATAACTTTGTTTAGGGGGTTTTAGTTTCAGTGCGCCTTATTTTGATATTTTCCTACACCAAGTGGTATTCAAATTTGCTAAATTTTCTTTGTTCTTAGCTATTTCATGTTCTACAAGAACTAGGATTAATCTATTATTAACAGACATATAAACCACTATCAGAGGTAATTCATTTTAGTAAAATTTCAAAGTTTCACATCTTCTTTGCGCATTCAAGACCTTCTCATATTCTAAAACGGTATCTAGACATCGTGTGATATTCCACTGCGTCACACATGTATTACGAGTTGTAGAAATTTATAAAAAAATTTAAAAAATTGGCTACTTACAGCAATTCCTTGCAAGTTAATGACAGTTTGGTTGGTGACTTTGTTATTTTGAAGGATTAATTGAGCAAGTTGGGGTACATAATGCCCGGCATAGCTCTCTCCGGTTATGAAGAAGTCTCTGGTTTTGTACTCTGGAAACCTTTCCAACCAGTTGACTAGAAAGGTATAGGAATCAGCTGCAGTTCTAGCATCGCCGCTTTTGTCATAATCTGATGTAGTATTTGAGTAAGAAAATCCCACACCGGCCGGTGACTCAAGGAAAAGTATATTCGCCGCTGCATTGCCAGAATGTCATAATTACGAATGATTGTCGCGTACTTTTTAAGAATTTGATTAATGGTTTGGAACAGAAACATGAGCATACTCACCATTGTTCCATGCATATTTGTTTTCTGATAGAGTTAATCCATCGCTGTTGACTCGAAATGGTCCGAGCTCCATCATTGCTCCATTGCCAAAAGAAGAGCAGCCAGGTCCTGGGGAGCAGAATGACGACAAAAAGAAATGGTAATGCAGATGTGCATTTGATACCAACTTAATCATGGTTTGATGGTAAAAAGGTAATTTGAGAGATTTGTCAAACTTGCCGGACTGGAGGACCCATATTTGATTTGAAATAGCCAAATTAGCACAAGTCACCACTACGCTATGATTGGCGCTAGTTTTTGGCCAAAGTTGTTTATTTAAGCCTTTAAATTGCGATTATTGGTGTTTACGAGACTCTTGTTATTACAGGTTCTAGGGAGAGTGAGATGACAAATAATAGAAACACGAGAATCACAAACTAGCTAGAAATCACCTCCATTTAACCACAGCACAAGAGGCTTGCTAGAAGAGTTCTGAGACTCCGCAAAATAGTAGAAGAGTGCTCTGCCAGCGTTGGGATCAACCCTAACATAGCCAGAGTACTGATCAAAGTTAATTCCATTAGGCTGCCCCGGCAAAGATAAAATCTTGTCTGCAGCTTTCAGTCCATCTTGAGGGCCTACATACACCGGTGAATACTCTGTGGCCGTGCTCTCAGTAACATAATTGACTTCCTGCTGTTTCGAAGATTGTTTTACTAAAATTTTCACGAGAGGGTCAAATCCAATTCCTCCATAACTATGGACTAAAGCAACAAGGTATGAATGAAAAAGCAGTAGAAGGATTGCGACTTTCTTCATTGATGCAAAACAGAACCAAATGTTGTTTGATCGATCCAATTATGATGCCTTTTATACAAATTTCTGTGACATATGCTGGAAGTTTTCTTGTTGGACTTTCAACCCCATTGACATTATCTATGCTTTGCACATCTTACAATGATCTTTGTTTACTAATACGTGTTTTTCTTGTTTTTTTTCATTCTTGGTTTTATACCAAGATTCACAAATCATAAGATTTATTTTTAAAATTTTCTCTCACTCTCCGTCTCCATATCGTGCCAAAATGAAGACAATAACAAGAGAGGTGAAGAGTTGGACAACGAAAGGATAACTAATAAGCCTGCTTTTTTGGTGAGGTTTAATGATTAAATGTTCTTCAACATCAAAAATGTATCAGAGTCTACTGAATTTTTAGCATCAAACTCAATCTTGTCACCAACATGGTAATCCACTCAGCTGAGATCCATAGCACAACGAAGAGCAAAGTTGATTGATGTGCTTCCATGGAAGATACAACATTATTTTAGAAATTGAACATTTTCTTCAATGGTGTCTCTGCTAGTAAACACTCACCCTTTTCAAACTAATAATCTCAAATTAGCAATCAACAAAATAGATTGACATATATTTAACTTGATTCGAAGCAATTTAATCTTATTTAACACGAATAATAGTAGTAGTTAACAGTCAAATTCACGTGCATTCCAACTTTAGTGCATATTTAATTTCCTGCTAAAAATATTTTAAATAAGGCCAAAGCTTTGCGCGGCTGAAATGTTGGAACTTGATGACCAGCGCCTCGAACTATTGCAAAAGTCAATCCATCATGTACCACTTTATATCCCGCTGCCTGAAACTAAAAAACTTAAAAAAAATAAAAAAAAATAAAAAAAATAAAAAAATTTGAAAATGTGCTCAAACTAAATTAAAAGCATGGAAACATACTTCTCCATCATCGGTCCAAGGATGCCATGGTTTGATCACTTTAAGTTTTAATGCATCAATGGAATATCGAGTGCTAGTCACTGGAACAACTGCATCCACATCACTGCTGTCCATAATATGTTCACATATTCATAGAGTTAGAAATCAAATAATCAAAAAATTAGTGCTTTTATGTTGTTCTTTAATTTAAGCTTAGCTTGGAATTTGGAAATGCGATATTACTTAGACAATTATTAACCTACTATGAAATAAGAGCTGAATTACCTGTAAATAAGTATACGAAGGCCAGAGGCAATGAGCCTTCTATATATCGGGAACGTGGTTGATGGGCTATCCAACCTTCAATCACATCGCTGAGAGAGAGAGAGAGAGAGTATCAATTCAATTGTTTTTTAATGTTTTAGAACAAAGTTCAGATTGTACAAAATCAACCAAATTCAGTGTTGAACAGATCCATAAGAAGCATTTTCAAATTGAATTAAAGACAATAATTCCATTCATCAAATTGTTTTCACTTTCCGCTCAAACAGTGGGGTTTTTTTATTTTATTTAAAGAAGAAGATATTCATAACAAAGATTGTAAACCTGCAAAGCTGCCATGTATAGGGCAGTTTGGTTCTGTTGGCGTGTAACGCTTCTTGTACTTGAGGAAGATTGAGATAAGCATTAACATAGTCAGATTCACAGGGATCATAATCTCCGGGGCATTTTGGCTTTCTTGGTGACATTGAGGAATCCAAACATGTTGGACTGTAGATGTTGTAATAATCTATGTAACCAATTTCTTTGGCTTCTCTTGCAATAAAATCATTTACATTTTTTCGTGTCATTGGGCGTCATTATACAATGGTTTAGAAGTCCTCGATAAGTTTCAACCGAAATCAATGAATGGCTCCAGGAGTAATCCAATCTTCCTATGTCATCGGTGCGATCATTCATTATCCCATTTCCTATCTATATTATTTACCGGAAAAAATAATAATAATAATAATAATAATAATAATAATTTGTCAAATGCTCAAAAAAATTGTCAACAATGTGTAGCAATGTAGTTCTTCTACTTATGCTAGTTAGGTTGTTTACCATGATTCCTTTAAGTTGGATCATCAAGATAGGGTCCGCCTCTTTGTTTCGCTTTATAATAGTATCAGCTAATTCTGGAATGTAAAATCCTGCAAATTAAGATTGTCTTAACAAAATTAATAATCACATTAGCAAACAAACGAGTAGCTGGGCACCATAAGATATGCATTATGCTGACAGGAGAGAGAGGGGGGTATTTTGGTCCTATTATCCATAATTTCAATAGAAAAAATCCCAAAAGCAGGTGAATAAGATAAATTAATTTCCTGTAAACACAGAAATCTTTCCAAAAATGTGGACACAATGCAGGTCCATCCAACATTGCCAGCACTACATTTTTGTGCACTGATTCTATGAAAAATTACTGTGATAAGTTTAAACGTACCTGCGTAGCTTCTCCAATTATATAGAAGTGCCTAGCCTTGTAATGCGGGGTATCTTTTGAACCAATTAATCAGAAAGGTGTATGCGTCTTGAGCTTCAATAGACAAGTACACGAATGAGACCCTATAATTGAGATTACCGTCTTTGGGCGTGTGGGGAGGCTGTTTTTGTGTGACAACTTACCAGTCCTTTTATCCGCTGTCACTTTGTAATCAGAGGTGGTGTTGGAGTAGGAGAATCCAACGCCTGCCGGGGACTCCACAAACAATATATTCGCAACTGCATCAAAAAAAAAAAAAAATTACGAGCAAAAAATTCAGCTTATTGTAACTAGTCAAGGCATTAACAAGCATCAACGCTCGGGCAATTAAGAAGAAATGAGTTAGGAAACTTGAGAAATTTGGGCATTTTGATCAAAATACGGCTTCACCAACCTTTGTTCCATGCATGAGTTCTTGTATAAAGCATTTTACCGTCAGGATTTACGCCAAAAGGTCCAATCTCTGTCATCGCTCCCATCCCAAGTGATGAACAACCAGGCCCTGGCCAGTATAGAATGTTAATGGAGGATTGTATATATGTTTTAAGTCAAAGTGAAAATATATGCAGTAGCTACAGCTAAATGCTTCTTATATAGTCTTCAACATTGGTGTATATATATCTCACTCGTCCCCAGTTGATTTTTTTCGAGTAATAACACAAACAGAAATGGTTTAATGTGATAGAATTATGGACATGTTAATATTAAAATAAAAACTCATTTTAGATATTTCTTAGTAACAAAACTGCCACTGATACATTATTCTGATGAATGATTCTGTATGAAAATTCTTAAATGGACCACTTCATGAAGGAAAAAAAAAGTTGTGTAAACTTCAATTTTTTGCTAAAATATGAGATTGAAGAAATTGTTAGCTTCCTAGTGTAAGAGGAGTAAATTTGAGCCCACTAAATTAATTAGGCCCAATAGTCCAAGGTTGGTGGGCTCGAATTTATCGCAAGTCCAAGATTGGAGGGCCTGGTTTTATCACCATCAAACGGGCCGAATCGCTCTAAGCCTCGAAAGGGTTCGGATCCACGAACTTAGAACTTATTCGGGCCCGGACTCGAAAGGGTATTGAGCAAGCCTAGAGATCTGAGGCACTCGGGCTTCGAGCAGATTTGATCGCAATCTAGAAGCCGCTCCATTGGTGAGTCCTAGAACACTTGTGGGCTCGGAGCTTTACGGGATCTACGCACCAGAACGATGGGCGTAATGGAGTTCGAACAAAGGACCCGATCCCGAGGACGGTGAGTGGAGATAAATTCACTCTTCGGTTAAACTAGCCTATACCCGGGTCGAGGTGGCACGACCTCGGGGGGT